ATGTATTGCATCACAGTGTCTGTTTCCAAGCTGTAACACTTCTCGGCCTTGAAGTCTAATCTAGGCTACTCTGAATGAAATCTTGAGTTTAGTTTGGATTCTCTCTCCTTCCCCTCACTCCCTCTCCCTGTTCAGTGTTGGGAATCAAAGAACAACAGATCTGACGTACATGCTTTTCTTCGCTTCATGTGTCCCATGAAGAGTTAGCAATGAAACAACTTATTTCTTGCAGATGAATTATGTTGGGCCATCTCACATGGCACAAGGCATGAATATCATGCTATCCAAATGTAAACACAAACCTCTGAAGAGTCTGCCAGTCATCTGTGGTACACAGCTAGACAATATTTGAAATACAGTTGAGCTCAAAGTGATTGAGCAAGAGGAAAACAGAAGAGAAAGTAAATGATGTTTGCCTCTCCAGCTCCCACTGACTTATCAGCAGGAGCGTGTGGTTTAGGAGTGTGTGAAAGCCTGAGGAGCTCCGATTCCCTTTCCTAGTGACGACTTCTGCAAGCCAGGATCCTTACCAGGAAAACCTCTCTGTACCATGTTGTTGGTTAAACCTAGCTCTTGAGAAGGCAGCTACAAGTGGTTGTTCAACTATTAATTTCTACAATTATTGGGACTTTATGTCTATTAATAGCAAGATCTGGTAATCTGTCTTGATCAAATTCTTAAATCTCTTCTCATTTCTAGTACAGTACAAAAAAGCTTCTGTGAGAATTCCTTGTGGTTTAATTTCTATCCTTAGTCAAAAATTGCCTACATTTGCTGATCTTAGAGAGATGGTGTGAAGCTTGGCTTTGAGCAAATTTTTTGGTAGGATTTAGGTGTAAATATTGTGCTCTGGGAAACAAAGTTCTTGGTGATTCTTGGGACCTTACTGAGGCTGAGTGCGTAGTATGGAAACTGTGAGAAGATGATTCTGTTTGATCAGTGTTGAGGTGTTAATGGTGATGTGGCCTATGTGATGAGCTGCGTTCTGCATATGGCTTTACAGGCCATGGGTTTTAATGATCTAAAAGCTTTTGGACAAACCATGCATTTCTTCTGCTCTGAAATTTTATATGAAGTATTCCCTAGGAAAAGCAAAGAATTTCCATGTGAGAACTGTGCATAATTTTCTAAACAGCTGTAGGTTTACTCTTTGTCCTAAAAATAAGGCAATGACCACGCTGCTATCTGAGTCTTATGTAAGACACAACCAACCAGCACTGCCATGTGATACTCTTCATAGTAAATGACACAGATATGTGAGTGCAGTTTGTAGTTCTTAGAACCAAAAGCTGAAGCCAAGCCCAGGTACTTAACTCTTCTTTCCTTTATTATTGCACAGTTAATGCCTTTATTTTTATTACTGTACAGGATTTTGAGGTTTAATTACCTCATTTTTCTATTTTGTATTATTTGTATAGCAAAGTTTTGAGGAGACAATATCATTAATTTTCTGAGTGTTGCCTGTAAAGCTGAATTTCCTCTATTTATAGTCCCACTGATGAAGCCTGGAAATGTTTTCAAACACCAGGATGAAAGAATCAGTTTGCATTCCACATATATTTTTTCCATTTGCCAAAATCCCACCAAATTCTCCATCTGCCCTTTTCTCCCCACACATCTTTTTGTTTCTACTTGAAATATTCTACTGGAACATTACCAAGATATTTTACCTGTAAGGCAGGTAAAAGGCCTGATGCACTAGATGGATGGATTTGGGGAATTGGAGATAATACTGGCCATGCTCTCCTTTCATCAAATGGTGCAGTAGCCCAGACACTCACTGAGGTTATGAGACTTTGATGCTTTGTCTCACAGGATTTCAACCTCATTCTCCAAGAGAAAGCTATGAACTCCATGGTAATAAAACATTATGGGGATGGAGATGAGTGGACAGGGAAGTCCTTTGTCCTTGTCCTCTTTCTCTTGGCAAAAATACTGAAACATCCACTACAGCAAGGACAAAAATGCAGGTGTTTGTCCTAGTTCCTAGGAAGGAAGAAAGGAGCAGCTGTCTCAAACAACCCTAACGAATACACT